TATATATATATATATATATATATATATATATATATATATATATATATATATATATTGATTGTATTTATAGTAAAAATTACACAATGAGAAAACTAAAGACGGCATCCCACAAGTTGGGTGCTCAAACTACTTGGCTCATATATTCACCAAAGCTCTTAGTCATAATCCAATTCAAATGATTTATTCCAAACTGGGCATGGGTGGCACTTATATTCCAGCTTGAAGGGGAGTAACAATATATATTTTAAGTGTAGTCCTTTGGTTTATGTGTCTATAGGGCATTCTTGTCCTTTTCATATGCTTAAGGATATTTTCTTAATTTTCATTGTTTATTATTATTAATTCTCATTCCTTTCTAATTTATCTTTGGTTCTACACACAATACTTTTTGCATTGTACTATTTAACGGATGTATGGGCCTGCTTTCTCAATAAATTCCCTGTTTAATTTTACTATTCTTCATATTTTTTTCTCCATGTTTAATTTTACTATTCTTCATATTTTTTTCCCACTTCTATTTTTTTGTCATTTTTTTTTAAGATTCTTCCCAAATTAATATGAAACCGTTTGAGCCCTTTTGTGGACCCGGGTAGAACTTAGATGAGTTCACTTGAACTTGCCCAAGTTACTCAGCTCGGCTAGTGGCCAAGTCCGTGCTCATGGTGAGTAATTAAACAATGTTTCAAAAGCGATTTAAAGCACACAGATCATAATTTCAGCAGATTACTTTGATTGTTGTTCTAAAAGTCAAGATCAAATTTCTCGCTAATCTTAAAATGAATTTCTTCATGAAATTTGGTTGAAGTCCAAGAGATGCTCAATAACACTAGAAAAATATCAGGGTCAATAAACCCCTAATTTGAGAGCAATCTAAGGAAGAAATCCTTTGTAGCAGTCAAATGTGTCTATAAACAGTGTCTTTTCAATGGACAGATATTTATTATTTGCTTATTTTTTGGCTCAAGATATATGCCATTTGGTTCATCTTTGAGTGCTCTATAAGCCTGTGAAAGATTGGATAGCAAAACTTGTTGGGTCGTGAGAAATCTAAGGCTGCTCTTACTGGACTTTTTGACCACCAGTCAAGACAGATAACTATGAGAATCTCCTCATAATTTGAGTTGTATATACCAAAAATTGATATTCATCCCCTCAAGCTTCTGAAAGGTTGATGCAATGGTATGACAATGGTGTACAATTTAGAAAATTAAACATAACAAACTTGCAAAAGCCATATGCATAGCATGGTTAATACGATTTACATCAAAAGACCAATGCAAAGGCACTTGGAACCACAAAAAACGTGGCTGATACAAGGCCCAAGACACACCTCTAATATGTTCCCTCTCACTTTTCCATTCAAAGACAGAATTGAGATTGCTATTAACACGACAATTCGCACTCATATAAAATTAAGCACAAGTATAAGCGTAAGTGCCCACAAGTGCAAAACCACCAACACCAACACATGGATGGCAATTTCAACTTTACATACACATCAAAACATTTCATTGAAGTTACAAAATAAGCGTAAGTGCCCACAATTACCTCAAGGGAATAGGTACACCCCCCAATGCCGGATTTCTACCTTCGAAAGAGCCAGGCCCAACAAGCTGCAAATATGGGAAGTCAAAGATTTCCAATGAAGGGAATGGGGCCTGATTTGATGTGGGATTGAGTGCTCTAAGGTCATAGGGTGGCATGCTAGAAAATGGTCTCCAGTGGTGCTCAAGGGCTCAACATTGATCAAGGCAATGGACCATTACAAAGGGGGCTTCAACATGAACCCATGACTGAATATGACGGCTAATATTCATTGATTTCAAAATGGGGCACCTTGAAGGTCATGTAGAGGTCGGCTAATGGTGTGCCCATTATAGTAGTGATTGTGTAGTTAATGGCCCACAGAATACTATATGCATCATGGAGCATAGGGAGCACAACAATGGCCACGGTTTCAAGACAACTTCAAAATGAACTCAAGGAAGGAGGGATGTAGGAGGCAAAGTATCTTTCAAGAAAGATTTCAGCAGCACAACATTACCTTGAGATGGATAAGACATTGAGTCCCCAATGATTCCTATTTATAGATAAGAGTTAGGGTTTCATATGGGCCTAGACCTTCTTCTTTACTTGGAGGAATGTAGGCAATTGATCTAAATAATTTATAAGGTGAGCGAAGCAACATCCAACCATAAATGAGGTATCATCAATCAAGAGTTGCGAGTAACACCTTAAGCCTTAGATTCCAAATCCTAATTACCCTTTATTTAAAACTATACAAGCTAGTAGGTAATAATATCACATTAGTCCCACACAAATATCTTTAATTTAAAATTGAAAAAATCTACAGAGAGAGGAATGGCATGCTACTCATGTGTTCACTCGTACAAAACAAGTTCAAGGTAAAAGGAAAAGGATACCCAGGGTTCTTGGAACTTATGTACCCAGTTATACATACTAACGAAAAAGCCCTTAATCATATGTGAACATGGGTGACCTTGTTTGCTCTTCATGTTTGTTTTCTTCTCTGGTTGAATAATCATCTATAGGAGTCAAATTTCTCAACACATTTGGTTGAATCAACATGACACATATATGTATATATGTGCATTTCGAGAACATATATATGCATCTGAGGTACCTCGAAACCTACGCAGACAGAACCACCACCCTAGAAGGGGGCACGCCCCATAGAACAATAAAAGACAAAATTGCAAACTGTAATTCCAAGTCTTATTAATTTACTTTGACACAATGTGAGATTACATTTATTTTCAAAGAAATAATAATTATGCTTATTCATAAGTGAACTTCAGCGAAAGAAAGTACCTAGCCAATTTCATATAGCACTAATAGAAACTTAAAGGTAAGTAAATGGAGATAAATTTCCCACGAGCAACCAGATCCATACAAGTATACAATTCATTTTCGATTTCAAGAGTAAAAGAATTTTCCCTTGAGAAATAGAACCTGATGGGTGAGATAGTGATCAGAATGGTTCACACGAAAGAAGTGATCAACATGCTCACTAACTGATTCATCAGAATCCGGTGGCACATTTCTCACAAGTACCTGCCAAAACCAGGCAAAACATGCAAAATTGTCATACATGTGTTTCAACATAAACACCATAAACATTTACAGGCATATGCAATAAAGAACATTGAAAGTTGAATTTAGGATAATGCTTCTGGTGTAGATAAATGAATGAAATTCTAGAGAGGTATTCTCATGAAGAAAGCACACACAAAGCAAGAGTATTAGTTGGACAAAGTTAGATCATGATATGTCAAGGAACATCAATCAACAGACTCCATGTCATGAACATGAACTAAATAGGAGTCAAAGTTTAACAGGTCAAACCTCAGTAGGCTCAGTCCTCAAAAACTGAGTCGACTCATGATTTGTTTTTCCATTTTAAAGAAACTAAGAAATAAAAAAAATTTGTGGACATCAAATACAAGGTTTAACTAATATAAACGCATAAACATATTTAATATAATACGATGTTCATAAACATATGGCCGTATAGCACAAATACATGGTAAAAAGTAGGGTATTTTCTCAGTTCGTGATCTATTTAAAAAAAAAACGTAGCAATCAGAAATTCCATATTTTAGTACATCACAAACGTGTAAAAAAAGTAGCAATCAGAAATTCCATATTTTAGTACATCACAAACATGTATTTCATATGCCAATACATATGCCATCACAAACATCAAGTTCAAAGAAACATATGCCAATACATATTTCATATTAGTGAGCCAAACTTTATAGCACATGATTAAGTATGAATGAGAAAATGGATCCCTCTCAAGAATGAGAGGAACTAAACATTCTATAGAGACTGCAGAAACTAAGCTCCATAATCCGAAATTTAGGAACCACTTTAAAATAACTTGATAGTATTTTCGTGGGTAAAAGAAAAAGCATTTTGATTGCCTAAAAATTTTTATCAAACCGTCCAAATTTTGGGGTCCTGAATAAATAAATAAAAACTGGCTAGGGTTTTTCTCAAGTGGGTGAATTGTATCCTGCTCACAAGGAAGCATATAATCTTTTCAGCACATCGGAGGCATATGACATTTTCCACATGGTTGAAATGGGAAAATGACTACAGCAATAGAGTGCACTCTCACCGTAAATTGGTCTGGACGACGACGTTCAGTCGCAAGAAAATGTAATCTCATTGACACGATATTTCCGTACTCCTTAAGTAACACATAACACGTCCACAATGAGAACACATAAGCCATAACCACATGGGTCCAAAACCTGCAAAAAAAATGAGAAGCAGCTTGTCCCAATTACTAAAGGGAAAAAAGTAGCTAAAACCCATAAGCCACATGAGACTAACTGGTGACAATTAAAAAATTATCAAATCTTGAGAACCATTCTAAGAAGCAATTAAACATGACTATTGAATTTGTCTTGCACAAATCAAGAATAGAACAAGACAGCACAATTTCTAAGAAGTGGCATCAACACTAGAGAATGAAACTGGTAATTCTACAACTTCCTAATATAAATAACACCCATATTTGGTCAAAAGAGCAACAAAAAGAAAAAGTACACCAAAGCAATGCAGAATAATATTATCTCACAGCCATAGAAACGATAAAAATATCCAACACTCTAGAAACCCTTAATTCTAAGGGTACGGTTTGCACAGAGCCGAGGCTCTAAACAATCAAAGTAAAGCACACTTTCTAACAGTGTCGACAAATGTGGTTCCAATACTGGAAATCTTTGTGATAGCGTTAAAATATATTTTCATCTTTAATTATAAAATTTAAAGCTTCAAAAGTAGTGTAGATTGAGCAGATCCATGAAAACTTGAAAATCTTGAAAATTGACTGTCCAAAAATGCATTACAAGATGCACTATTTCCAAAACTTGAAATCCATTTTTTTCTCATGTCCATGCATCTTGATGTCGAGATAATCATTTAGAGAATATTTGGGCATCAAAACAACCTCTTCTAGTGAAATTTTTGAGGTAGGCTCCAATTTGATTGTTTAAAGCCTCAGCGCTATATAAACTTTTTCCTAATTTTAAACCAATGGGCTTCAACCCCTGAGAAATACTCCAGAGCAACCAAAACCATATGATTTCAAATTCCAAATGTACCATTAATAAATCAAAATAATGCCTTCTAAAATCCATTTAAGCCTTTTTAACATAGCAATGAAACCAAATCTTCCTCGGCATAATCAATTTCATTGGTGCCCAGGGATGATGTTTGTAGGTTAGGAGAACTATATAGTCTCCTATATGCGGTTATAGGCTTGTGAGAGCAAAAGCCAAAGCCTCAACAAACTTCTATACAGGATGTACATATGACAGCTGCATTACTAGGACGCAGCCCTATAGAGGGACACATGTATATGTGCAAAGAGAAAGCCCCCTTTGCACTGTAATGACAAGTGCTAGATTTATTGGGCCAAATTTGAAAGCCAATCATTAGCCCTTGCAAAAGACGGGTCATGGGTCTTTGTTGGGTTCGTTCAAAAAGACAATTGTGGATAATGGTTACTGGGTCAAGTGGAATGCCCTCGTAATCATTTATTTTGACCCATTAGTACCATTCCACTTCTAGATATTCTATTTTTGGTATTAGAATGTTTCTATGAATTTTAGAATTCTTAAAATTCATTTCTGCCATAAAATCTTTGAAAAGGGTATTTTTCAAAACTTTCAAAACAGGGAAGGCCACATGTGGGGCCATTGGATCTAGCCCCATATTTGTGCCACCCTCACATGGGTGGAACATGTAGCCTATGGGGCCCACTTGAGGCCCATAGGGGTGGCACACCCCACTTATTTTTAAGTAGTAGTTTTTTTTTCCTAATTACTGTTAGTTACGTCAAAATAATCCTTTAAAAAAAAGAATAGTATTGTAGCTTTGTGGGAGTTTTTTTTTACTAAATAAAAGTTATCTTTGACTTCCTGCATATTTTAAAAAGATAATAGGAAGTTCTAAATTGGATATAATATTATTTAAATTAGAAGTTGGACAAGGGTAAAATTATAAGGGGATGGTTGATTTGTGGGATGAATGACTCAGATTTGTTTGTTCTCTTCACCCCACAGATTTTCTAAGCTACTGTTGGTCAAGTCTTGTCATTAGATAGGCAATACTCAAAGAAGGAATTCTTATTCAAATAGGAGACGGAATTCTTTCTATTTAAACACCATTGAGCCCCCTCCCTCTCAACACACATATTTCTCTCCTCCATGCACCATATCTTTCTCATTAAAATTCATTTTTCTCTCTCCTCCATTCCAAAAAGGGTCATGCCACCCAAAATTTGATAAGACAGGGGTGGCACATTGAAACCCTAAATTAGAGTTTTGTTGTTGGGAGAAGAAAATGGGCAACATCAAGCCGTAGGAGGATTTTATGCCTTCAAGATCAGCTCTAATTTATTCCTTAAGATGGATACAAACCCTAATTAGGTTTTCATGCTCTCTAAAATCCTAGAGTAATAAATATTGCCTATGAAAGCTTCCTATGTCTGAAATTCCAGTAAGATCAAAAGGGACAAAAATGCGCCAAGAGTCAGGGAATCGGGTGTGGTGTATATCAAGTCTTGTAGAGGGTAACCTTAGATCAAGTAAATCTTCCCAGCTGTTTCTATTTATTTTCAGTATTTGCATAGTTTTTGTGATTTTACAAGAACATATGTTGTGCTTAAATTCAAAGTGGAAGACTGAATATTGTTTCTGGGTTGTATTTATTTGCTTTAGAAGTAAAAAGAAAGGTCCAATGTTGTATTTAGAGTTTTATTTTTTATTTACAGCAGTGTATTGTGGCCCATGTAAATGGAATTTGGGTGTATTAATAAAAGTTGAAAAGGAAAATTTTTTAATTTACTACCTTGAGTTCCACATAGCCACACGTTTCATTTCAAAGGGTTTATTTAGTCAATTATAAATATAAATACCAGAAATTATTTGATATAAATATCATCAATTATTTAATATAAATATCAGTTAATAATATGAATAACAAATTGAAATAAGAAATTAAAAAGGGTTATTATACGCCCCACTCTTGACAAAAATTAAGAACTCGCAAAACTGAAAAGCGCATTACTTCGGTTTTCCATGCACATAAATATTGGAATGAGTATGGAACTAATTAGGATGATCCACTAAGGGATCGACAAGGGTGATTAACATGTAAACAATTTTTCATGATTCAATGGATTCCACAATAAATATAACCATTGTGCATATAATTGCTTTCATGACATGATAACATGTAAAATTTGCAACATAAGTAACATAGCGGAGCAGCAAAAAATTTCAATTCAACAGTGAGTTGTATTTGTAATGCTCATGGAATTATCTAACCTTTTTGACCCATCCCCAACATTCGAGATAGAAAGCTTGTCAATGTCACTAAAAGTAACATTTGAATGCTCCAAAGTTCCATCTGTCCAATTTACTGGAACTATGATTGCAAAACCGAGGATCATTATAGGAACGAATATTTTAAGGCTGCATGAAAAGAAAAAATAAGAATGCATGAGAAAGGGAATGAAACACAAATCTAAAAAAAATAACAATAAATATATAATTAGTTTTTATTGCATCTAATAGGCTCAAAACAGTCTTATAATAATCTAACTAGTTTACCACTTCAAATAAAAAACAAGAGAGAGAGAGAGAAAGCATGATTTTCCTTCGGATCAACGAGACCATATACTATGAAGAAATAACCAAACACCTTAAACAAACCATTAACAAAAAAGTCATCATGACATCAAGACCAACAGTAGGTAGGAGACATGCAGCAGATTCTTGGACCTTAATATAAGTTAACATGCAGATAAATAAGAGTTTTGGATAGCTCGAAAGAGTAAACAATCAATGTTTGGAGTTAATAATCATTGTTTTTTTTGAGAAAGAGAGTTAATAATCATTGTTGGAAAAGAGAGTTAATAATCATTGTCGGTCTCAATTGTGTTTGCTTCCCTTCTATCCATCAGCAAAGTAAACATTTCCAAACCCATGGATATTGATCATTCACCAAAACCTCCACAATGAATAAAGACACCTTATGCCTTAATATAAGTTAACATGGACATAAATAAAAGTTTTGGATAACATGAAAGACTAAATCATCAATGTCGAAGTTAATAATCAATGTTGGACACTCTCTCTCTTTTTTTTGCTTCCTCTTTATCTCTCGTAAGAGTAAGGATTTCTACAAAACTTCTAAAATGAATGAATGTGAGATATTCTATGCTACTGCATGTGTACATTTTGCATGTATTGTTGAGATCATAGTTAAGGGAACCTTGTGGCTAGGGTGATGATCCCGCTGCCGAACCTCGATCCCACAGTTCCTACAAGGGATCTTGTAGGGACCCCGGTTTTTCGATTTTGGGATCTTGCTCCCAAAACAAGGGGACCACGTTCCATCCATCAGTGGAATCCAGTTCCGTCTCGAAATAAATCCCCACACCCATCAACCATGGGCTGAGGTTTAGGTTCATTAAAATCTTGGGTTCTATATTTGCGGGATCTACTTCCAATAATGGATTATACAAGGTTAGAGATTGTCATTGTCCCAAGTTCCCATTATTTAGGAAACATAAGTTCCATGATGTTAAAATCCAGTCCCTTTTTCTGCATAGCACGAAGTTCCATTATTTTGGATTCTTAATTTGAATTAGGCATAGTTTAGAGTGACCCATTGTTTTATTAAGTCCAATTGTATAAGCCATCCCTCTTAGTTGTGTGAATATATATTTCATTTAAAATCATATATTTATGAAGTCCTATTATTTTAGATTCTTAAATCACAATGATGAAGCCTCTTAGTTGTCAGATGAGAATATATGCTTTCATTTCAAGCTTTAAAAAGCTTCTTTTACAGAGTGAGAGAGAGAGAGAGTTGCTCATCTTGTCCTCTTGCCCATTTAGAGAGCCACCCTTTGGGAAATAATGGAAGCAAAGGAGACTACATTCGAAGAAGATGACCCTTGAGTGGTAGGACTCTGGGTTGTTGGGACCAACCAGCTGAGGACCTTGATTCCTATACTTTAAAAATGTCAATATTAGAATAAGAGGAACCCCAGTTATATGACATTCTTAAACCTCGATTCCTTAACCATGGGAACTCGTACTAGCTCTACTTGACAACCTCATTTTCATGTATAGTGGAGCTTAGATTCCAGCTAATCAAAATATCGAACCCATTGACATGGGATCTCGCTACCATAAACCTAAGGATCTCGTTCATTGTCTTGTTCATTGTACGGATGCCGATCCTTACCCTAGGGAGCTTCCACTATAGGGCGGTTCGACAAATCCCGAACCGATCCCGCTCCCGTCTCCAACAATTATGGTTGGGATATCGTGCTTAAGGTTGATCAAGCATAGTTGACTTACCAATCATCAAAAGGCAATTGTTTTGAGTGGAGTGCTGAGTAGAATTGTTCCTTTATCCAGAGGAATCATACAGTCTAAGGACAGCAATAAAAGGGAAAGAAAATAGTGACAGAAGATTATCTTGCTAAATAAAGAGACATCTTACTTCAGAGAGATGAGTTTGTAAGAGAAGTAAAATAATGTAGAGATATTTAGTCAATTTGTACAAGGTGTGTTTTCATAAGCGTGAAGACAACTTGCAGGGTTGCCGAAATGGGTTTCCATGAGCATTTTTATTCTCATCTAGTACAGCACCACTCATATCCCTGGGAAGTAGAAATGTAGTTTCAGTAATTCCTATACTTGTATACAAGAGAACTAATCCCTCACTTTAAACTAAAAATGTTTGATTTTTCCAAACATAACAAGTTGTAGAAGCCTCCCCATATACTGTCCAAAACTGAGAAAGATTAGTTAATTCAATTGAGGCTCCTTATGATATTTCTAATACAACCAATGCAAGCCAAAACACATTACAATTTTTCTTTTTCAGAAACTCCAATTTGACCACATATCAACAACTAATAAGCCATAGTTTCTCTACAAGGACAACAAGACTTGAAAAATTTTAGAAATAATTATCATTCACCATTTTGAGTCCTATTTTCTACAGCAACATTTAAAAATCTGACTCGGCTCAGTAATTGGCAAAATCTCAACTTGAGTCAAATCACCAAGTCCTAAGTTGACTGACCCAGCCTCCTCTTTGAAACTGATCTAGTCTTATCTTTGAAACTTGGCTCAATAAAATTCCTAAAGTCTTTTAAAGACTTGATTGAGTTTTTAAAAAACCAATATTTTCAAATGAAAAGCTCAAGACCGGCCAAAGCAAGCTCCAAGTCTGCCAAGCCAGTTTGAGGTATTTCAGACCGTTTGAGGAAACATAGGTCTGAAACCTATATTATTCTGCAATCTCATCGTTTGTCATAACAAAGTGGGCTTCACTTTCTTCATAGGCAACCTCAGATAAACACCAGTTCAGTTGCAACAACTGTTGGGTTTTGTGACCTGTAAAGGCCTATAGAACTTGTAAAAATGATTCTTCATTGAATATGCACTTCAGTGGGAGTATTTGTATTGACTGACCATAGATTTATAGCCCTGGTTATGTCCAAAACCCTTACGCATGTGGCACTACCGAGAAGGATTTACAGTGGGTCATCTTTATAGGCCAATAGATTTGTGTGGTCTCCTGTGTGCGGTTGTAAGCCTGTAAAAGCAATAGCCAAAGCGTCAACAATCTTGCGCACGGTATGTACACATGACAACCACATTATTGGGAAGCAGTCCAATGGAGGGATGCGTGTATATGTGCATATAGAAAGCCCCATTTGCAATGTGGTGACTATTAAATAGGAGGACTGAAATTCATATTCTAGGATCATGGTTCCGTTGTTTATTATCCAACTTTGACAAGCCAATCATGAGCCCCTGCATCGAGATTGGAGTCATGGGTCTCATTTGTGTTGCATAAGAAAATAATAATGGATCATGGTTCTTGGATCAAGTGGAGTGCCCTTATTGTCGCTAATTTTGACCCTTTGGTACCGGTCCACTTCCAACATATGCTATTGTGGTATTAAAAATTCTTTTGTGATTTTTACAAAAGAATTTAAGAATTTTAAAATTTTATTTCTGCTGTAAAATTCATTAAAAGAGCAGTTTTGGAATTTTCAGAACTTGAAAGGACACATGTTGGGACAAAGGATTCAGCCCCCACATGTGTGTGCCACCCATGTGAGGCGTATGGCCTTGTGGGGCCCACACAATGCCCATAGGGTGGCACACCCCACTTATTTGTTTTGTATATACTTTTAGATAAAAGTTTAATTAGTTAGAGAATCTGTTAAAATTCAAATAAATTTATTCCCTTTTCATGTGGGAGTTTTAAAATAAAAGAGTATCTTTTGACTTGCTATAGATTTTGTAAGATTTAAATAATAATAAAAGTGGTTATAATTTAAATTTTAAATAGAAGTTCAACTTGGATCAAATTATTAGAGGATAAGGTTCTAATTTTCACCCAAAATCATGATGGCTAATTTGTGTACTGGATGGCTCAAATTTAATCTCTTTCACCCCACAAATTTCCTAAATATCCTAATGATCAAGCTGAAAATTTGGATAAGGCATACCTAGATGGAATCCTGCTCCAAGTGGAAGATAGATTTGTTTCTATTTAAATATATTTGAACTCCTCTCTCTCATTACAAGATCTCTCTCTCGCGCCATATTCTCTCTTTCCTCCAAGCTCTATTTTCTTCTCTCTCAAATTTTAAACCACGTGCCACCCCTCTTTGCCCCATAGGGAGTCACGCCACCCTCTCTCTCCTCTTTATGTGTGTCACGCCACCCCAAAAGTAAAAAAATATAGTGCTATATGAAATCCTAGAGCTAGGGTTTGCTAAATTTTTCAGTAGAAAAGAGATACACTCGACCAATAGAGAAATAATCCCTCAAGCCTTGCCCCTAGTTTTGTTCCTATAGGATTTCTATAAACTCTAGTAGAGTTTTGAGCTCTATAAAGCTCTAGATTTAATGATATTGCCTCAAAAGCTTCCCTATCTCAAAAATTCCAGAAAGGCTTAGAGGATTAAAAGTGTGCCATCGGTGAGGGAATCAGATGTGGGGTCTATCAAGACCTGTGAGGATAACTCCAGGCATCTTCTAGTAAATCTTTCAAGCTGATTTAACAAATTTTCAATCATAGTTTATATTTTTCTGTGAATTTTCAGGAACATATTTTGTACTTAAAATCATAGAGGAAGATTGGATATAGCTCTTAGATGGTATCTATTTGTTTTGGCAGGAAAAGTAAATATCCTAGGTTGCGTTCAGTGTTTTAAATTTGATTTACAGCAGTGTATAGTGGCCCAAATAAGTGGAATTCAGGTATATTAAATAAAAGAAAAGAAATTTTTTTTAATTTAATACCTTGAGTTCCACATAGCCACTCCTTTCAACAACAGCCATATATCCATGTTCAACTTCAACTTCTTCATAATGGATTAAATATTTGTTTACAATTGCTTGTCGATCCATTCATTTATAATTATTCATTCCATTCATGTCGGAGCAGGAGGAGTTTTCCGAGACCAAAACCGCACAATTTTGTTCACCTACTCTGAATGCAAGATTCTCAGCACGCCGAAGCTATGGCCATTCTATTGGGTATCAAGAACTTCAACCGATCTTGGGGGCAAAACCTAATAGCGAACGGAGATGCTAGAAATATAATATCATGGGCAAGAGGGACTTCCTCTCCTCTATGGTATCTTTCTTTCATGTTTGACAAGATCGCCGATATTTGCAGGGATATAAACGTCTCATGGACGCATACCTTGAGGAGGTCAAACGAGCTAGCCGATCTCCTAGCAAAGGATGGGGCCAGGGCTCCAGGTGAAGCCTCTAGCTTCGATCCGGACCACAGAGGGACCACAGTGTAACACTGCGTGGCCTGCTTTTTTGCTTGCTTAAGATCACAGACTGTCGATATAAAGGGCCAATACTATAAGCCCATTTTTTGTAATCTCATTGTCTATTTTGTATAACATTGGACAAATACATACGATCATTTTGTATAGGGTCGGTTGACCTAATTTTTACATAGAGTCCTAGCATGGAGGGACTCTCGGTTCAAACAATCCATGTAAAATATTTATAGCAATACAGTTAACTTTATCAAAAAAAATTTATTCATTCCATTCATTTATAATAATTTGTTATTCCGTTCACTATTCCATACCTAACCTAGGAGCAAATTACTGGCATACTTATGTCCAGGAATGATCATTTATGTAGTTCTATCAAAGTCACTTTCTTAGAAATACCTCGTCCCTCAGGAGGTTCTTTATTCAAGAAGCTCTTGATTATTTCAAATTGTTGTAAATGTTCCAAAATATGCATTTCTTGTATCATGTATGATTTTTAACTTATAGTGTTACTATGTACATGTAATGTAATTTGATATTTGTGCATTTAACCGTACAACCACTTCTGTGATGGTAGGGATTATCTCGTCACCTTTTGATCAATTGAAATCAGCTCCTCTGTTTCTAACATGATACATGAGCTAGAACTCAGAGTTTCAAAAGAAATATCAGTATCTCTTCATGGAAAGTCTCTTTTGTAATAAGATTGTTAAATAGCAGCTCCGGAATCTGGGCATCACAACAAATCAATGGATAGAATAATTGTGTTTCCCCACAACCATAATTGTGAACATAAAAGCGTAATTTTTCCTGGTGGTTTAATCCATTCTATTATATAGAGTTTTGTGATGCTTGAGGCACACTGGTTTATGAAGTCATCCCAGCTTATGTCTTCAAAATTTAATGATAAGAAATTCGTTTAATAAAGTTAGTGGATATCAATTAGTGAATTAGTAGATTATTTATTCTATATTAATATGAAGCTCCATTAAATAAAGAAGCTTGATTACACCCTAACTCTTTATTCCTATAGATGAAAGAGAGACTAATGCCAGAGTAGAAAAGGTCGAAATTTTGGAAAAGAGGGTAAAGCATATAAACATGTAATAGATGCCACCAAAATGGAGGTGGGGTCATCTCCAAGACACCCAAAGCATAGAGAACCTGCTAAAGCAATAAAGAACCTCATTACGATCACTGACAAGTTGCCAAATCAAAAGTTGATACAACAAATGCTTCATGTGATTCACATACTCCAGAAATGAGAACAAAAATAGGGTTTTTAGCGAAACCCATTTCCGGAGAAATGGGAAACAACATAGGGTTTTAACCAGTATCATGTACTCTCCATATTGTCAAACCCATTGTTCAATTAACATATTATTGGGGACAAAAACTTTGAAAGTTATACTAGCATGCCAACTGAAAAAACAAAAGCTATCCTAACAACAGTGTGTTTATGTACTTTCAAAAAAAAAAAAAACAAGAATAGTACGTTTATGACAGCCTTCATGTTTCATAAGTTAAGCAGTAAAGCTAAATCTATTCACATCATGATCTAAAACTGTTAAAGATTCAATTGAAAATAAATAAAGCATGAGAGAGAGAGAGAGAACCAACAATCTAACCAACTCACCCAAGAAGATAAATTCGAAGATAAACAGCAGAGTCAAGTCCAGCATGGTCAATAAGTTCAGGTTCAGGCATTCTAAGTCCTTCAGGCATCCAATTTAAAAACCTTATGTATGATCTGTAGTCCAAATTGACGAATTTGCTCACAAATACTCCAGAATGGGTAGGACTACTCCTCAGACCTTTCAGATACCATTTTGGAAAATAAACCCTATCATTTATTGGTTGAAGTCGCAATATTGCAAATGCCAAAAGGAATGCAAATGCCATGAGTATGTTAACAGCTGCTGAAACACCAATATCCCGAAGTGTAGCCATCTATTCCTTATAATGTAAGTACTGGGGGAGAAGGAATTCCCTGTAATATCAACATAAGATAATTAGTGAAACCATAAACAGAATTAAGTTTAAGTGTAGTGAAATAATTATGTAGTATTGAACCTAATTATGTAGTATATTTATATTCTTTTGTTTTTGCCCTTTTCAAAACAATGTTTCATCCAAAACTTACAAATAACAAATACAAAATTGTGAGAAATAACAATAAATGCATGAAGGATGCAACTAGAACTTTTACCCTTTCATTGGCAGGTTGTGGGTTCAAATCCCAATAAGGAATACGTTTTTATAATACAAAAACCAAGATGACACCATGTCCTAACACTGCATAGCAGAACTTTAAAATGGGTATGTAAATCACATGTTAGATCTGCACCGGATGTCCATACATGTCATCACATAGTACTGAACAACAATTGGAGTACCTGTGTAATGCTGGAAACAAAGGAAATAGTTTTAAAAACCTCAAGAATGCACAACTACAAAATGGATGAGTTTGAACTCATCAAACTCTAAAACTCTCCCTCAAGACCTCTAAATAGACATTATCTCTTCATAATTACTCCTTTCATCATCTAAAGAGATTCAAGAGAATGTATTAGAGGAGAAGAGAGAGAAAAACTCCAAGCCGGGAGCATGTTTGAAGCTCACTTCCCATCTCAAGGGCCTCATATGTGTTTGGACATCCACAAGCTTGCCCTTGGCTTGGCATCATTTGGTGGGTTGCAAGGATGAAGTAGTAGTATGATGCTTGCAGCTCCAGACCCCTTGCTCGACATCATTTAGTAGGTTGCAAAGATGAAGTAGTAGTACCATGCTCCAAAGGAAAAATTTGAAACACTGCACCCTGATAGAAATAGATTATTTCCATCCATTTGGTGGGTTGCAATGATGAAGTAGCAATACGATGCTTGCAGCTCCAGACCCCTTGCTCGACATCATTTAGTAGGTTGCAAAGATGAAGTAGTAGTACAATGCTCCAAGGGAAAAATTTGAAACACTGCACCTTGATAGAAATAAATTACTTCCATCCAATATTCTAAAATGGAGATTTTGTATAAGGTGCCCAACTTGTACTACACAAGTAAGGCACACCTCTAAATTTTGCCGGAAGAAGTAGTTCCGGTGTCGAAGACTTTACGATGGCTTGAAAATCCTTCAACCCTAATTATGAAATTTAAAATTTAAAAAAGGGTGCAAATCAAGCAGATCTCTAAACACTTCAAGATCTTGAAAATAGACAATCCATATAACTTGTTACAAGATGTAAGATTTTTAGGACATGAAATTCTCTTTTCTTTATATCTACACATCTCGAAGTCAAGATGATCAAATTGCAAGGTTTTCCAACTTTGGCTGTTCTTTTCTACTGGATTTTTAGGTGCAGCTTACTTCTATAGTATAAGATTGCAACCTTATATAAGCTTTTTCCCTATTCTAATGCTAACACTAGTAGATTTCCAAGAAAAATCTTAACTTCTCTACCCGACTAGGGTTTCTTGAAAGCTGACGCCCAAACTAGATTTCAGGTAAGTAAAAAGATTAGTCGTGAGGTTTCGAATCTTGCCTGTACTGTGAACTACGACAAAGGTTCTTCTAGGACTCTTTCTCTCTCTCCTTCACCCCTTCAATTGCACTCCTCGGGGCATGTTCTTAGGAACACCTCCCTCTTTATCTCACCCAAATGTTAATTCTATCCTAGAATATTTGCGGGCTTGGTTTGCCCCACAAAAAGCAAGTCATTAAGGATTGTTGTCTCAAACTTACACCCAGCATTCTGGCCTTAACCAAAACCAAAATGCCCTCCCTTTATTTAGCTCAAATTCGACAAGTCTGAGATCGTCGCCCATTAATTGGTTGGCCCTTCCAGCGGAGGGGGCTTCGGAAGGCATTTGAGTGATTTGGTACCCCACCTCCCATACACTCTTCTCCTCTCTTGTAGCCAGATTCTCTGTCTCTATTCTTTTTGCCAGAATACCCAATGGGCAAGTCTGGAAATTTTCTGCAGTATACAAGCCCAAAACTAACTATCTCCGACCCTTGCAACAAGGTAGGTTCCTTACCTCATCCCATATGGTGCATAGGGGGGATTTCTATGTTACCATATAGTCCTTCGAGAGGAACAATTCCAATAGAATCACCCCTACTATGAACCTATTCTCGGACTTTGTAGCCCAAAACAATCTACTAGACCTCCCTATTCAAGGTACCCAATTCATCTGGTCAAACCCCTCCACCTCTCCCTCACTTTCTAAACTTGATCGTTTCTTGTTCAGTTTGGAGTGGGATGCTACTTTTCCAGGTACCCACGTTGTCCCAAAACCGACCTCTGACCATTGCCCCATCTTACTCAATACAAACCCAGCTGCTAGGGGTATCAAACCTTTCAGGTTTGAACTGACTTGGTTGGAAGAGTCATCTATGCTAAACCTCTTCCCCTCCCGGTGCAATCTTGGTCAGACACAGTCTTTGGTTCGGTTGGACTCAGATTTCAATGCAAGCTTCAATTACTGAAAGGTAATTTGAGAGCTTGGTCTCGCCAACTCCCTGGATCCTTTGGGAACCAGAAACAATCTTTGCTTCAGGCTCTTCGGGCCCTAGATGTCACTTAAGAATCCAAACCCCTGTCGAAAACCGAAGCCCAGTCTAGGAGAAACTCAAGATCGAGAATATTTTTTGGTACCACAGATCCATAATCAAGTAGTTGAAGGCTGGCGACTTAAACACCGGTTTCTTCCACAAAACAGCAAATTGCAGACGAAGGGACAATACTATATCCCACCTAATGGTGGGTAACCTCCTAGATCAGCCCCTAAACATTGAGTAGACCACCTTGAATTATTTTAAAAGCTTGTTTCCGGCCCCTTTGGGTCCCAGACCGGTTATGAGGGATCTCTCCTTCCTCACTTTACCTACCGAGAAAGCCATTTGGCTGGAAAGACCTTTCTCTGAAGTCGAGATCCTTAAGACCATTTCTCAATTGGACTCAGATAGGGCCCCTAGTCAAGATGGATACCCTTTAGCCCCTTTCAAAACTTTTTTCGGAACCAAGGAAACTCGATTCTTTAGTATCGGAATCTCGATTCAACACGTCTTTAGAAACCATTTTTCAGAACCAAGGAAACTCAATTCCTTAATTTCAGAATCTCGATTCAACACATCTTTAGAAACCATTTATCAGAACCAAGGAAACTCAATTCCTTAATTTCAGAATCTTAATCCAACACATCTTTAGAACCCATAAATTGTGGGTAGATGTTCCCAAATATATCAAAACCGAAAAAACTCGATTCCTTAATTTCGGAATCTCGATTCAACACATCTTTATAAACCATTTATCAGAACCAAGGAAACTCGATTCCTTAATTTCAGAATCTCGATCCAACACATCTTTAAAAACTTGAACCCATAAATTGTGGGTAGATATTCCCAAATATATCGAATTTGGATTCCAACAAGGATTAAATTTTGATTCCACGTCAATTGATACACTAACTCAAAGTATATAATGTTCAATGTCTATGATGGTTGTGCACTTCCTAAAGGAAACTAGAGTAGAAATCTTCCTTTGAATGCTTCAAGTGGCTGCAGGGTTTCATTATTTTACTTGTGCCACCTTGGAAGGGCTTTACTTTAAATTTAAAATATAACTGGTAAATAAAACACATACAAATAAAACTAAAACCATGGCGTAGACATAACCTATTTTGTCTTTATAATAATGAAGTCAAAATCACAATTTAGAAATACTTGTTTTTTATATATAATGACCGTAAGTTCAATAGTCAACACAATCATTTTAAAATTTGGGAAACCTTCTAATAAAAGACATCCAATATAGGTTCTAAAGTTGATAAGGCTCAACATGTGCTTGTGGCTTCCTTCTCTATAAACATGAAATCTTGATTCCTGGTAGCGGTCGTCATATGAATTCCATAGTCCCTATTTTTGTAAATCTCGATCTCAAACTGGCATGGATCTCCGATCCATATACTTCAAAAACTTGATTCCAAATATGCTAGAATCATGATTCGAAACAGCATATCTTTGTTCCACATATGTCAAAAACTCGATTCCATAAATGTTGGAAACTCGATTCCATAGATGTCGGGAACTCAATTCCATAGATGTCGGAAACTCGATTCCATATTAATGAATCTTGACTCCAGGAGTGTCGATTATAAGGTGATGGGAATCTCGATTCCAAGGAGGACGGAATCTCAATTCCATATGTGGATGAAACTTGGATCTATTTCAGTCGAAACATGATTCTCAAAAACTAGGAATCTCATTTCCAGTGATTCCTATTGTACGGACAACGATTCCTAAGACAAGAATCTTCTAGCCGGCCGCGATTTCGAGATTCCGGTTCTTAAAATGATTCGGGTTCCCAGGCGTTTCCATCAACTATGGTTTATCCTCTAGAAGTTTATTGCATATTATAATGTCACAACTCTCATGCCGTTCATTGACTATTTGAATTAATTTTCATTTTTCACTTTACAATGGATTTGGTCAGATTAATTTAGGGGGGAAGCTTCAAACCTTCAAAATTATGCCATATGTATCCTCAGCCAAACCAGGTGGCTGGGTAAGGAATTGTTGTGTGCATGCACACCGATACACGAAATGGATTGGAGTACAAGAGCCTCAACGATTGGTACAACCGGAGCTTGAGGTAGAGGTAATAGACTATTATTTATTTTTCCCTGATTATTCAACTCATGTTTGGAGTTAGACTTAAATAATATAGGTTGTGAAATATTATGAAATCTAGCATTACGCAAAGACCATATGCTCAAACCCCTTGGAGCCATAGAGATGGAGAGGATCGATGTATCGGATGCCGAGACAGAGAGGCTAAATCTTAAAGGTTTTTAGAAGCAGTTGGATGAGAGGATGGAGATGGAACCACCACAAAGAGCTAATTTTACGTTTAGACTTTTTCTTTTTTTCTTTTTTATTTTTTGGTCCACGAAGGGTGAGGGCCTTAAACTTCTAACAGGTGGAGATGATAAT